TCTACTAAAGCCAGTTGTAGTGGTACATGTCTGTATCCCCAGCTACTCAGGAGGCTGAGGCAGGAGGATCACAAATTGGAGGCCAGCCTGAGCAGCTTAGTGAGGGCTTATCTCAAGATACAAAGGACTGAGGATGCAGCTCCGTGGTAGAGTACCACTGGGTTCAATCCCCAGTGCACACACATACACACAAAGCAATATCAAAATTGTTTTCTTTTCGTCTCCACTTTCAGGCCCCTGACATTTATGGGATCACAGACCAAGAAGGTCCTGCTAACGCCCCTCATGCACCCAGCTCGCCCTTTCCGGGTCTCCAACCATGACCGAAGCAGCCGGCGTGGGGTGATGGCCAGCAGCCTAAAGGAGCTCATCAGCAAGGTATCATGCGCCACAGCCACTCATGCCAGTCCAGAGAGGTGCCCTCGACCAGCTTGGGGCCAAGGACATGGTGCCACACAATGCCAAGGCAGAAAGGTTGAGAAAGACCTCCTGTCCAGCTTGGCAGTCCCTCTCAGCCTCGAGAGTCTGGGGGAGCTGTTTCTAAGTGGGTAGGTCCAGGTTGTCAGATGGGCGATTACTGTCTCTGCACCAGGAAAGGTGAGGACACAGAAACTCAGCAGCTGCTGTGTTGACAAAGCGGCCTTGTTTCTTTGACAAGGGAGAATCCAGGGACTCGGGGAGTCTGGGTTTAGGTATAAAAGCCAGGATAGAATAGTCCTTAGTTAAAACACTGACCTAGAGCTCCAAGTAAGGAAGAATCCCAGACTCCCAGCAAGTGTACCTCTAAGATGTCCGTGAGATGTTAAAGGAGCAGCTTCCAAAGAAAGGTTTAGACCTCGGGCCACCTGGGGCTACAGCTCTCACGACTTCACACACACATGCTCTGCCTGTCCCTCCGAATATCACCAGGTGGCCATTGGTCATGCACTTTCAGTGTGATCGCTTATCCTGTGTCTCTTAGGAAGAGGGTACCATTTAAATCTTAATCTCTTTCTCAAAACAAAGACTGACTTATGGACCTCAGTCAATGCATCTCTTTGCCATTACAATTTTATCTAAGCCAGGCCTGTGGACAGGGGCATGTGACTATGGTGCGAGCTACTCAGGAGGCTGAAGTAGGGGGATTGTCTGAGCCAAGGAGTTTGGGGCCAACCTGGGAACACAGCCAGCCCTGTGTTCCCATCTCAAGAAAAATCACTTTATTCAAATCAGCCAACTCTTCTGAAAACTGTGACATCACAAATGTCATTGGGTGGTCCAACGGGAATGTCCACTTCATGCCGTTTCTCTACCTCGCTGCCACCTAGACTCTGGATGCCCTGGTCATCACGGCTGGGCTGGTCACGCTGGTGCTGGAGGAGGACGGCACGGTGGTGGACTCGGAGGAGTTCTTCCAGAGCCTGGGAGACAACACACACTTCATGATCTTGGAGAAAGGACAGAAGTGGACGCAGGTAAGCCGTGACCCTGTCGTCTGGACAGCTCCAGTGGGCTTGCCCCTGCCCTCGCACTAACTTGCACTCCTTTTGATGCGCTGGGTTCTGTCTGCTAAGTGAATCCACTGTCCTCAAAGGGTTCCTGTGTGCCCCCGGGAAACTTGGGTTCGGTATTTAATTTTAAAATGTAATTCCAAGGAACAGGCTTTGGCCAGTGAATAGCCACAGACCCTTCTAAAGCAACAGATGTGACCTGGTGACTGTGGATGGCTTAGTCTCCAGGAAGTAAGACACACTGACACAGCCAACTAAATGTCACAGTATCCATGATGATTGCTTTATAAAAAGGGAGGTTTGACTTGGAGGCCGAGTTCATGACTTATTAGCCTCATTCCTCTGGACAAATGGAGGGGCATATCTGCTTCCGTCACCAGCCAGAGGGCAAAGAGAGCAGAGAGGAGCAGGTCTCAAGTCCCCCTCAAGGGCACACCCCCCGGTGACCCAAGGGCCTCTCCCAAGGCCCCACCACCTCAATAGCGCCACCTTGAGGACCAAATATTTAACATAAGGGCCTTTGGGAGACTATCAAGGTCCAAACTGTAGCAGCACGGATAGAGAGATTCGGCAAAGTGAGCCACAAAGGAAGCCTTTTATTTCTGGAAGCATCATAAATCATATATCTCAAGAACAATAAAATAGAAAGCAAGATATTAAAACATCTTCAAAATATTAAAACATCTCACTGACCTTCAAAAGGAGAAATAAAGGGGCTGGGGCTGTAGCTCAGCGGTAGAGCACTTGTCTTGCTTGTGTGTTGAGGCACTGGGTTCCATCCTCAGCACATAAAAACAAACGAAGCTATTGTGTCCACCTACAACTAAAAAATATATTAAAAAAAAAAGAGAGAGAGAGAAATAAAGCTGGGCATAGTCACCGGCACCCATGGTCCCACACTTGGAAAGCTGAGCAGGGGGCTCACTTGAGCCCAGGAGTTCAAGGCCAGCTTGGGCAACAGAGCAAACCCTGTCTCAAAACAAAAAACAAAAACAAAAAAACTCAGAGGCCAACATGTTTGTGGGAGCCAGAGTCCAGAGAAGACAGAAACCACTACAGCTGGTCCCCCCAGGACACCCCCTCCCCCTGTGGGCCTCCCCACTGGGGGTCCGTTGACCTCGGGGACCTGGCGCTTTAGTTTCAACAGATGCTGGGAGGACAGGAGAGAAAGACTGGGACTGACCCAAAGAGAGGTGAGGTGTGGATGGCCACTTGAAGCTGGGCATCGTGAGGGTCTCTCCTGACCATCTGTGGCCTCATGTTGCCCTCCTAAGTGTTTAGGCCCTGCTGGTCCTGACCACTCCAGCCAAGAGCTGGGAGGAGGCCCAGATGGCCAGAGCTTAGTCACTGGATTGTCTTTATGCAGCGAGACCCTCCTGAGCCCCCGTGCTGGTTCCCAAGGTAACCAGCGGGAACAAATGGAAGGAAGGTTGACCCAGGCTGAAGGAGCCTCCATTCCTGAAGTTCTAGCAAGGGGCGCTCACCACTCAAGCACAAAGCACAGGACAGGGCACTGTGCGTCCACATGGGCGAGGCTTCTCTAGCATGCTGGGCTGTGGGCCCCTTCCCCAGCACCGCAGGGAAAAAATGAGCAGAAATGATGAAGTCAGAACTATCAAGTCCTCGAAGCTGCATTCCTAACATACAAAGGATAACATTGTGTATTTAAAACTCTCCACCAGGTGCTGGGGCTGTGGCTCAACGGTAGAGTGCTCGCCTAGCATGTTCAAGATGCTGGGCTCAATCCTCAGCACCACATAAAAACAAATAAATAAAATAAAGGTATTGTGTCCAATTACAACTAAAAACAGAATTTAAAAAATAAAATAAAACTCTCCACCAGACCCAGTGGTGCACATCTGTAATCTCAGTGACTTGGGAGGCAGAAGGAGGAGGATCACAAGTTAGAGGCCAGACTGGACAACTCAGCAAGACCCTGTCTCAAAAAGAACTAGGGATGTAGCTCAGTGGTTGGTAAAACTTCCTTGAGTTCAATCCCCAGTAACACACACACACAAAAAAAGAAGTAAAAGTAAAACTTCCCCAAACAGTTAAAAGATAACCCAAAGTAACAAAGAATAAAAAGTAATCAGAAAAGACCAGGCACAATGGTGCATCCCTATGATTCCAGCTACCTGGGAGGCTGAGGCAGGAGAATCATAAGTTCAAGGCCAGCCTCAGCAACTTAGAGAGACCCTGCCTCAAAATAAAAAATAAAAAGGGCTGGGATGTGGCTCAGTGGTTAAGCACCCCAGGTTCACTCCCCAGTACTGCAAAAAAACAGAAAGAAACATATTGTTTTAGAGCCACTATAAAGGAAATAAAACAACAGGCCACAAAGAGAGGAGGAGGTGGAGGTGTTGTTAACAAGACTCAACAGAGGACGATGATTCAGCAAATGTGAGGAACTCACGTAAAACAATTGTGCAAACAACCAACCATCCAGTTGCACCACTGTAAGGTCATACTGCCAACTTTGGTATTAGACTGTTAAATTTTTTTCCCCCGTTTTTTAAGATATGGGCAGCAAGTGCTCCTATACTGCCACCCAGCGGTGTTACAAAGAAGTTGCCTTGATCCCATAGAGGGGAGGCTCCGTCCAGGACACAGGAACTCCATCCCTAGACGTGTGCCCCAAGACTGGTCCCACGCATCAGTAGACCCATGCATAAGTGCACCCATGTCACCAGTGGATGACAGTAAGCATTGGAAGCAGGTCACCTGTCTATCACAGGAGAATGGAGATGCGTGCACATGCACACACACACACACACCTAGCAGTGTATCCCTGGGTAAACACACATAAATAAGCTGTTACATGTTTATTGAAAGAAATGGTCTTCAGCCATGCCATGGGGCTAGGAGTCACTCAGAGCACCTGCCTAGCATGCACCAGGCCCAGGGCACAAAACAAAAACTGAAAATGGGGGCTGGGGATGTGGCTTAAGCGGTAGCGCGCTCGCCTGGCATGTGTACGGCCCCGGGTTCGATCCTCAGCACCACATACAAATAAAGATGTGTGTCCGCTGAAAACTAAAAAATAAATATTAAAAAAAAAACTGAAAATGTGTTCAGTACAGCTGTAGGCATCCTAGAATATCCCTCAACAATTCTGAGTGAAGACCCAAGGAAAAGTACATTTAAAAAGTCATCCTCAAACCTCTTTTGACCTCAGGGTCCTCTGTGTTCTTAAAAATCAATGAGGATCCCAAATAGCTTTAGTTGGCTTATGTCAGTACAGTAAATAGACATCTGTCAATTAGCGGTTTTCACCTGATTTTTTTGTCCTCCCCCCCAGGACTGGGAATTGAACCCAGGGGCACACACACCAGTAATCACAGCGGCTAGGGAGGCTGAGGCAGGAGGATTGCAAGTTCAAAGCCAGCCTCCGAAATTTAGTGAGACCCCCCCCCACAAGCAACTTAGTGAGACTTTGTCTCTAAATAAAATATTAAAAAAGGCTAGACCTGCAGCTTAGTGGTTAAGTGCCTCTGGGTTCAATCCCTGGTAATAAAAAATTTTAAAAGGAAGGAGTAAAAATTAAAGAAATTAAAAATATATATTAATTCATTAAAATAATAACCCAATATAGGTTAACTTAAGCCACTTTTTTTTTGTTGTTGTTCTGGGAACAGAACTCAAGCGTACTCAACCCCTTAGCCACATCTCCAACTCTTTTTATTTTTTATTTTGTGACAGATTCTCATTAAGTTGTTTAGAGTCTTGTTAAATTTGCTGAGGCTGGCCTTGAATTTGCAGTCTTCCTGCCTCATTCTCCCTAGCTTCTGGGATTACAGGCGTGTCCCACTGAGCTTGGCTAGTCACGTGTTTTTATGAAAAGTTGACTATTTTCCAAACAAAATGAGAAGTGAAACTTTTTGTTTTTATAAATCTCTTTAAGGCCTGGCTTAATAGAAGACAGCTAAATACTCGAGTCCACTTTTGTATTCAGTTTGTTGCAATGTATGGTTTGGATGGAAGTCTGGCCTGACACTGATATGTAGTTGGAAGAGGGAGCAGGTTTTTAACAGATTTTTCGTATCATTTAGGATATTCTCTGACACTGCACCAGAACTCACCAAGCAGTGGTTTCAGACAGGTTAGTTACAGTGTGGAGTCTCCTCTGTGGCACTGAGTCCGTCCGTCTTCCCTGCACTTTGAGAAGCGCCTTCTCCCAGGGATTATTTTGTAACACCATGCATTGGTCATTTAGAAAACATTGATTTGGGCTGGGCACAATGGTGCACACCGATAATCCCAGCTACTCAGGAGGCTGTGGCAGGAGGATCACGAGTTTGAGGCCAGCCTGGGCAATTCAGTGAGACCCTGTCTCAAAATTTTAAAAAATATATATTTTTGTTGTTGTTAAAGTGCCGCAGTCTGGCTGGGCACAAATCACTGGGAGCTCACGAGCCACTTGTAGGTTCAAACAGGAACTACTTTATTGCCCAAACCCCATGGGAACTCTCTAGAACTCAACGGAAACTCCGCGAGAACTCAAAAGTACCTGGCACCCGAGGTAGCAGGAGCCGCCTTATTGCCGGACAGCAGAGGTTTATATACACAACTGAATACACAGCTTGCCTCAATTCAGCTGAGGAGGCGTACAGGTGGGGAACCCGGCCTCTGGCAGCCTTCCTGCCTCCCCACAGCCTCTAGGATGAGCAGGAGCTTCCGTCCTCCAGAGCCACAGGCCTTGAGTGTGCAGCTTAATCCCTGCTTCTCTGATGGCTGACCTTGACAATGGGAAGGTGTGTGTGTTTGTAAAGGAGACACACACGGGGTGCCTGTGCAGGGCTGGGAAAGGTGACATATCTAGGGTCCTGCAGTGGTGGCCCAGGAAGCCACTGCGTTCCCAGGCACAGTCCGTGGAGATGTGGGCGTGTCCCATCAAGGGCAGCTGAGGGCCTGTGGAGCCCTCTGGGGGTGGCACCAGGACACTCCCCGCAGAGCAGCTCCTACCTGCCTGTCAGGGTTTGGTGAACCAGATGAGGACCTCCAACAAGCAGTGGCTGCCAGGTGTCCCCTCCTTGGCCTCTGGGCCTCAGGACCCTGA